GGGGGGGGGTGCGAACGCACCCCCTGCACCCCCCTAGCTACGGGCCTGATACGTAGCTGTTCAATGCAAACTGTCAGCTTTAACGACTGATTTCATTTCTGTTGAAATAGTCAATTACAAATTGAACTATACTTGAGGAAAGTCGGGATTTTCATTTATATCTTCACCATCACAACGACAACTGCTTTTTACAGCTTCTTTCTGCCTTGTAAATGGACGCTGAAAACAACTTATTAAACACTGCAAACAGATGAAATGTTCAACCTTTTAGGAACGCATGGATGGGTTTTATCGTAACGGCGTTTACTTAATTAGTAGTCTTGTGGAAAGATTGCAAGAGTGCTGACCCCGTTTGTCTAAGAAAACATCATATGGTAATCACAAGCTATAAAGATTTAGTAAACAAGTGTAAAGAGGACTATGTAGGAGGTATGATATGTAGACCTTCATGTAGCGCTCTATCCAACCATGACAAATGCGTTTTGAGTACAGAGGAAGAGACCCCAGGCGAAAAAGGGTTGAGCTTCATTAAATACATCCTATTTCTCGTGGATAAACAAAAAGTATTATCCGATAAAGACAGCTGAAACGGTTTTCCTTGTTGTTATTGTGTTAACATTCAAGGTCACATAACGGTCTTTCACTGAATGACGAGCTACATGAGCCATAACCAAGACAGTTGCGGGACAGTTATAGCTTCAATTGCTTTACGTCTCAGTAAACAACAACTGGATGGATACGGCAAAACGTGCTTTTTTTAATGAAAACTGGCTCTCTTAGAATTCGTAAAACGGTTTTATAAACTAGTCCTAGAGTGAAAACATAAACTGTTACCTTAAAGGAGCACTTGGATGAAAACGCCCAAATTTTTGAAAGTCCGAGTAACTGAAGTATATGAGGATAATATGACTCCATTATGATTATGTAAACCAGAATAGTGAACATTTTAGCATAGGAGCCATTTGCAGTTGAGAAATTTTGTTCAAAAGCAGAAAGAACAATAGGGTTGAGTAAATGACGTCATTCATTCACAATTTTGATGCTGAATAAAACTGATAATTTTTACCCGCTACATTTTACTGTTAAGAAAGTATGTTGCTTGGCTACTATTGGGGCCATACAGATACGTTTAACTAAGTTTAAAGTCATTTCCAATTTTTATCCATTTTCATCCAAGTGCCCCTTTAAGAATCTTTGCGTCTTTTTCTAAGAAATAAGATGTAACAAATAGTATGCTAATCAAACTCAGGGTCTCGCTGACTCACAAGCATAAGGCATCGAATTTATGAATAATGAATACTCTGCTCAGGTGAGAGAGCGGGAATCACGTTTTAGAGGGTGTACCATTTTAGTATTCATTTGAGTCCCTCTCTCTCAAGTACCTCTCTGCTTGGGGACACCTGATCAAGCAAAAGAACGTTCCCTTAGATGGGCACACCTCTATTCATTTGGGCTTCTCTATATAATTTATAGCTCTATCAAGGTTCCTTCTACTTTGATCTACCAAAAGGACGCTCCCTTAGATGGGCACACCTCTATTCCTCTATTCATTCGGGCTAACATCAAGGTCTCTTCTACTTTGATCTACCAAAAGAACGCTCCCTTAGATGGGCACACCTCTATTCCTCTATTCATTCGGGCTAATATAAAGGTCTCTTCTCCTTTGATCTACCAAAAGAACGTTCCCTTAGATGGGCACACCTCTATTCCCCTATTCATTCGGGCTAATATCAAGGTTCCTTCTACTTTGATCTACCAAAAGGACGCTCCCTTAGATTGACACACCTATTCCTCTATTTATTCGGGTTACTATCAAGGTCCCTTCTACTTTGATCCGGTAGCTCTGTCACCTAGCGTACCCTTGCATTGATCGTAATTCAGTCTTATGTATAAACTACGTTTAGAGTGCATAGCTGATAACTTTTATATTTGAAACACGCATATTTTATACGAATATGCTTACATGTGCGTCGCGCGATGGTACTTCATCTGCTCTACTAGATGCGAATGATTGATCAATAAACAATAAATGAACCACTTCAACTAATGGCACTGGTGATCATCTCGTAAACTTCACTATATTTGCGAATGCATCAGCCTATTACTGATTTCATTTATTAATATTATATAAAGCTAGATCTCCTGCTTCCCTCGAGAAGTGAGGTGTCCTGCATGCGATGGCCACAAATGGTTGATGGTTTGTATACACTATTATGTTTAAATTATACTTACAATAATGTTACTGCAGCTGGCTCGATAGAGGTTTTATATGTGGTACTGAGTTCCACTGACATTTTGGAAGAATATAACAAATATCTATTTTTTTCTGCGATAATCTCTTTGCCATCAAACACTATCACACAAATATTAGCAATCTAACAGAGTTTGTTTTTCGCGTTTCGCATCATCAGAGATAAACAATAGCTTCACATTGGTAATGTGGCCTTACACGGCCCAAGCTCAGTACATTTGCTCTTGAGTGAAAAACGCCCAAATTATGAATAGAGCATTAAGAGCGAAATCGATCGTAAATCATATGAATAGTTTTAATAGCAGCTACTCGCGATTCTTGCACAACCATGCTTGAAGTCCGATGAGAAAGAATTATGAAGAGGACCTCATAAATCATAGCATTACAAAGAAGATAATGCACTGAGATGACAACGTTATTGTTTGATCATTATTTATTGTCTTCACTTGATTAACTAGGACTTTGCATGATGGAGTTAGCTATGATTATTGCTATTACTGTTAATGAGGTTTTATCATTGATGGCTTTTGTGAGCATCATTATTGCACTTAAGCATTCTTGTGTGAGTTTTTGAAAATGATAGAGTGTCAAGTTTCGTAGGTCTAAGGTTTATTGCGGTCTACTGAACTTACTAATTTGTGCAAATTTGTGCAATCAAAGTTTTTCACTAATATGGTATGCAGTCTATCCTGAACCTGCACTAAATCTTCACAGTGGTGATGCAGATTCTTGCCCATCAGTGTAAGCTCCTTACACAATAGCCCGCAACTGCAAATTGAGGAAGCGATCTCAGGCATCTTTGTTCGCGGTCTTTTATCCTGATTGAACCCTCCCTTTTCATCAGGCAAAAACCTGACGCGCGCTGAGAAACATTGTATTCCAACGTATTCCGATTGGTTGGAGGATTATTTTTATGCCAAACATATATTTTCTTAATTACTCTTTGCGATGGAATGTTAATGATGCAGATCATGATATTCACCGTTATTATGACAATTAGACCAACACTGATTGACTCTGCTAAGCTATACTACTACGTTATCTTGTCTTTTTTTTAGCAAGAATCAGCATTAGTATAATTTATTTGTATGTCAGTTAGGTTGCCAGATGCCCGTTAGGATGTCAGTTAGGTTGTCAGTTGCCCGTTAGGATGCCAGTTAAGTTGCCAGATGCCCGTTAGGATGTCAGTTAGGTTGTCAGTTGCCCGTTAGGATGTCAGTTAAGTTGCCAGATGCCCGTTAGGATGTCAGTTAGGTTGCCAGTTGCCCGTTAGGATGTCAGCTAGGTTGCCAGATGCCCGTTAGGATGTCAGTTAGGTTGCCAGTAGGATGTCAGTTAGTTTGCCAGATGCCCGTTAGGATGTCAGTTAGGTTGCCAGTAGGATGTCAGTTAGTTTGCCAGTTGCCCGTTAGGATGTCAGTTAGTTGCCAGTTGCCCGTTAGGATGTCAGTTAGTTTGCCAGTTGCCCGTTAGGATGTCAGTTAGGTTGCCAGTTGCCCGTAGGTTGCCAGTTGCCAGTTAGGAAGTCAGTTGCCCCTTAGAATGCCAGTTGCCCGTTAGGATGCCAGTTGCCCGTTAGGATGCCAGTTGCCAGTTAGGATGTCAGTTGTCCCTTAGAATGCCAGTTGCCCCTTGGAATGCCAGTTGCCCGTTAGGATGTCAGTTGCCCGTTAGGATGCCAGATGCCCGTTAGGATGTCAGTTGCCCGTTAGGATGTCAGTTGCCCGTTAGGATGTCAGTTGCCCGTTAGGATGTCAGTTGCCCGTTAGGATGTCAGTTGCCCATTATGATGTCAGTTTGCAGTTAGGTTGCCAGTTGCTATTAAGGTTGTCAATTGTCAGTTAGGAAGTCAGTTGCCCCTTTGCATGGAAGTTGCCCGTTATGATGTCAGTTTGCAGTTAGGTTGCCGATTGTCATGCAGTTAGGTCAGTAATTTTAATTTCCTACTTAGGTTGCCAGTTGCCCGTTACGTTGCCGGTTCCCAGATAGGTTAGCGTTGCTAGGCTGTCACTGTTGCCAGTTAGAATGCCAATCAATCAATCAATATTTATTTCAAACCATCAGAATATTGTAAAATATTTACAATCAAGTTCCAATATCAGATTCTTATTATACAATTTTTAGAAATATATGCATAGTACTATATTACAGATACATGTACAAATTAATTAATGGGTTTTACAAAGTGAATATTTATAATGGACTAATAATATGTTTCGTTATTAACAAGAAAATAGTTACAATAATGCGATAAGTTTTAATATCCCGATGGTAAGGCAGTTTAAAAAGAAATCACTTGGCTTATAACATTTAAACTGCTTTAGTTGTATTAGTCTAATCTATGAGGTAATAATTAAATAAATGAATAAATAAATTCAATAAATTCACTGACAAGAATCTAAAAAGGGGGAGAAAGGAGATTGGGAAATAGCAAGTTTGAAAGTTTATTTTTGAAGGAAAATTCTTAACTATGGTTTGAGAGGTCAAGGCCAAACTGACCAAGCTATGCCAGTTGCTACCTAGGTTGCCAGTTCGGTTGCCATTTAAAAGGGGCGTAAAAATTAGGCACATTTTTACTTGATTTTGTTTTATGATAAGTTGAATAAGTTGAATAGATCGCCAAACAATTTCATTTTATATGTAATACAGGTCTATTAAAATACACCCTTTATTAAGTGGACTCTAGTTCGGGTCTCAAAATTTCATATTGGAATTTATTTTATTGATAAAATGAAATATTACACTGTAATATCAATCGATGTCTTTAAACTAATAACGGCTGCGGATGAGACTATCTTTACTGCAACAAAGCTTTATTTGCCCCTTGGACGCCCTATAATGCCTTGCGATCCATCCAAGATCAGGGCGACAGGGCGACACGCTACAATTTTTTCTCGCGCTGGCAACGCAATTTCACATCTTTGTTGCAGCGAAAAATTGCAACGCCTATGATATCAAAAAGTTTTGAAATAAACTTCTGGGAAAAAATCAGTATTAAATCCTGATTGGCTAGTCTGAATAGGATTATTGCATTGCGAGTAAGCATGGGGTCAGTTTTCGCTATTTCTAGGCGTGCAATTCCGAAAATGTTGCAGAAAAAAGTTCAAACTTTTTGATTTTTCGCAACAATTTTTGCGTTGCGAGACATAGTTGCCGTCCAAGTCGCGGAGCATGCAGGGGCGTAGCGTCCTTTGCGACCGTAAAAAAGAAATTGGTGTGGGAATATTTTGGGAGCTTGCTGACATGTCACGTGCATACTTGCCAAAAGTGTGTCGCGCTGGCAATGCAACTGAAAAATTGAGATTTAGCCCATTTAACCTCAGGAATGACAGGGGGGTCGCGACCCCCCCGACCCTCCCCCTGGATCCGCCCTTGGTGTATCAGCAACTTATTCAAACCAAATTCTGGACATTCTGTATTCCATTGCAAAACTACCCATTGTTTGGGTGTGCCTTCAAGCATAGGCGGGATCGGTGTATTGAACTAAAAGTTATCTATTGTAACCGATAAGGTTCCAAGGGTGTAATATAAGAAGAAAGTTTGGGTTACCTGTGGGCGGCTTTACGTATGTACGGGTGACCGATAGGGTGACCTGTTATATGTTATAGATTAGTGTTACAAACATCAATCCCTGTCTTCTGTATCTAATACGACTTCTTACTCCTATAGTTAAAAGTGAGTAAAGGTATGTTTCCATTACACTCTTTGCCCAAACTATAGTCTAGAAATATTATATATTACTTATATATTATATAAGTCTTATATAGACATTAGATATACGTCCTGATATCCGCGCGGAAAATATGATACCATTAAGTCGTGTTAGAATATAGTAAATCATGATTCGAAATCTTAAACGACGTTTAGATATAACTGTGGTTTTTAATGATAAAAAGTTATATAAACATTTGCCTTACTTTGCTTAACATCCATATACTGCTATATGGATGTTAACATGTTGCTTTTGATGTTGTTTGTTTGTTTGAACTTTAATCTTTTCCTGAGGGTAATCTAAACCACCAGCAAAAGCACAATCCAAGCCTTAATATTTATGATCACCGGTTGATTTTGTGGTTGGATTTGTATAGCTTTTGTTGATTATTTGAATCAAAAAAATCGTTTGCTTATCTTGTCTTTGCGTTGCTAAAAACTAAGACTATAAATGATTTGAAATTATTCCAATAACAGGCCACAGATCCATGAATTTTAGAAAGGGGTGTCTATTACAAAGATTTTACCGGGAATGCGATGAAAAGGGGGTGGCTTACTAAGAATAAATTATGCTGAGAAATTTGAGCAAAAGAGGGGTGTTGACTGATCAACTCCTTTCCCACCCCTGGATCCGATCCTGGGGCATTTCTTACTTGGCTCTGCCAGGGACCGCAGACCATATTGAAAAGTTGGGGGGCTGGCATTTGAAAATAAAGCATAGCATCAAATTTCGTGGGGGGGGGGGGGGTAACGTTTTTTATTTATATTCCAATTTTTGGCGCAAAAAGGGGTGCTGGATCCGTGGTCCCTGTTTGTACATAAAACAACATCAAGGTGACTGCACGGTGATCGTAACCACCTGTCAATCACGGAGCATTTGTTGGTTGGTACAGAGCCAAGTACTGAACTAGATATAGTTCCTAGTTGACCTGCTACAACATGCTACCATAAAACTCCTTTTTATATAGAAAATATTAATTTGAAACTAATGCATTCTGCAAGTTCCATATTAGAAATGAATTAGACAAATTAATGCATGTATGTATATTAATAACATAAATTTTTCAGTTACAGATGGATGCTGACTGTGTTGAAGTTGTGGAAATCGAAAAGAATTTTTCCAGTTTGACTGCAAAGCATGACATCCCAAGAGGAACATTCTTGGGAGACTTTTGGGGAAAAGTCAGAAGTGAGGTTGCCAAACACACTTTGCAAATCGGCATCAACAAGCACATTGACTGTTTAGGAAAAACCAAATACACAAATCATTCTTGTTCACCTAATGCTCATTTTGTGTATAGCCAATACCAAGGAAGTAAAGGATTGAATCTTCAAGAAGATGAAGAACTCTCTTGGCATCTTGTAGCTTCAAGAGATATCAAAAAGGGTGAAGCAATAACATTTGATTATACACTAACAGAATATTCAACGGCGGAGGCTTTTGATTGTCTTTGTAAGTCTCAAAACTGCTTAGGAAGAGTACAAGGTTTCAAGTTTTTACCAGCAGAAGAAAAAAAGAAAAGAATGGATAGGGCCTCACCTTTCGTAATTGAGCTCTTTGAAAAAGAAAATCGCTAAATTGTATCAGCCCAACATCATTGAATGTCCTCCCATGGGTCTCAAGAGTCTTTCTATTATCTTCAACTTGCAAAAAAAAAAAAACATCATAAGTAATACCAATGCTAAGAGGCAAATTAATACAAAAACCACAAAGAAATAAGAGTGCACAAAATGAAGTAGTTTTATGGAACCTGTAAAACAGTTTAATACTATGGTCAAGATTTAGGCAAGGGGGGGGGGGGGGTTTGAACCGTAGATTTGTGATGGGCTGCCTCACTGTGGAAAAGTAAAAAGAAACTTCCAGCTTCTTTGGCCAATTATCAAGATGATGTATGTATGCGTATGTATGTGCATGTATACCTCTYGCATAGTGTTGAATGCAGCTCAATTTGGAGGACACAATAGATTTCCAATTCTCTTGAGATTTAAATTCTTTTGTTATGTAACCCCAAATTGAGCTGCTTTGACATCACATGCAAGGAGTATATTGCACACCTCCGATATCCCACCATGACTGAGACCTTGCTACTCCCCCAAGATATGAAAATATACTCAGAAATCAGCCTCACATCAAAGCTAATTTTGAGAAGGACCCATTGGATTGAGTCCTTTTCTATTCTTCCAAATATTTGAGAAGACATGCTTTGGTAAATAATTTTACTCACAGAATTTAGAAATCTTACCCAATCCCAGGGCTGTCAACCCCCAAGATATTCAAATCTGGAGAATTGATAGGGAAGGGACATGAAAAGACGTCATTCACTTTGTAACATTTGATGTGGTTGGTTTATTTCTGACCAATCAGATTATTGCTTATATTACAATGGCCTGCTTGCAAGAACAGTTTATCAGGAATGTTTTCATTTTGTTAACGATGTAAAATAACACTGTGAAAGTCGAATCTCACAAGAAATGGTGAGCTTCGGCGATTATCCGGGAGATTTGAGACTCTAATCTGGAGACCGGGAGATACAGTCCAAAATCTGGAGACTCCCGGTTTATCCGGGAGAGTTGACAGCCCTGCAATCCTCTCATGATAAAAATATGGTATTTTGTTAATGTCTGCGCTTGCTTCAGTTTCCAAGCTTAGTCAATCAGGCTGCAGGTTTTGAAATATAAATCCACTGGTTTTTTTTTTATCCTAAATTTATATCTCATTTATCTTCCATTTATGTTATCATTCCATTCCCGATCCAGTCCCTTTTGGCTTCTCACGTTTATCCAATGCATAGCTAGCTGTATAAGTAGATGACGATCGCCGTGTTGTTGTCTGAAATAGTCTACACCGGGCCCCTTGAGGCGAAGGAAGTTATTTTACTTTACCAAAGCATGACTTTTGCAGTAGTTCTTTTGGCACAATGTACGCCACATTGCAAATAGAATTGTAACGAATCACTTGATGTAATGTCGGTAAAAACCCCAGCAAACATGAACTAGGAATACAACACGTGGAGCTTGTAGACGAAGCTTTTGAAAGGCAAAAATGGAGAGCGATTTGGGGACAGATAAAAAGAAAACCAAGGTACGAGGTTTTTTCAATCTTGAAAAGGTTTATATATGTATATAACCTACATAATTATTGCTTTATCATGCAAACCAAAACAGGCTGTCAATCGAATCTGTCAATGCCTCCCTGTTTATATCAAGCCTAAGATTTCTGCTTTTACCTAAAAAAATATTTAAATTTCTGAACGAATAGAGGTTAAAGTTACAAAATATCTTAATATCAATCTGCTTTAGGAGAGAAAAAGTCACCTTTGGTTGTTAGAAATGTAGAATTTTTTCGTGAATGGAGGATGGAGAGCAAGAATTTTGTCCGCCATATTGGACCGCGCGGCTGCTGCTGAGACTGATACTCAGTCATGTGATCGAGATATTTGATTGTGATTGGCTAAGAACGTGTAGACAAATTTTGGCGGTTAAATTCGCATTCGTTCAGTTTGACTTGGATCAACCCGTAACGGTTTCGCATACTCGGCTTTTCTATCTATATTTTCTCCTTTCTTTTTCACTTTTTTCCACTTCAAAAGATCTTAAAAGTCAAAAGAAAGGGCATTTTGATGTATTAGTTGGGTAACGAGCATCATTAGGTAGTTTAGAGAGAAATTTTGTACGATCTATTATTTTCCCGCTATTTTATAAACCACGAAGTCTTACTAATGGCGACGATGGCGAGTCCATTGAAGGTAACTTTTACAGCGTCCTTTATCTTGAAAATCCATTATAATTAGTTATTATAGAGGTTATTGTATTTCTAAGTTATTTTGATATTTTCTGGTCTGTTTTGGAATGCAGATCAAACAGATCTTGTATAAACTTACAGTAATGTTTTTAATTCGGTGCGGACAAAGTACAGACAGACAATAGAAGCTTAGGCCAAATTTTGGGTTCATCTATTTTTCATATTTTTATGTGTCAACTTCAGAGCCAAAGAATATTAAAATTGTTCTGCTTTTGTCATGTAGAATACATCTACAACTACTTATAATTCAATAGGGCTATTTACTGCGCTTTTTGATATTCTGCAAACTCAGTAATTGAAAGCTGCACACTCAAATTTGGTTTTTCACTGCCGTCAATCAAACCTAATCAGTGGGTACCTCTTATATTCTTGACTGGCAGCGGTAAAARATGAATTTTAAAACAAGCTGTTAAAATGGCCGAATTCACAGAATATCGTCAACTGCAGTATTAACTGTGACCGGTTAGTCGCTGGTCAACCCTGTTTCTGGTTCAACAACTAGCTGGTCAAAATGACTGGCAAGGAAGAGATTTGATCAAACAAGTTTCAATTCTGGTCAGTACAGCCGTTATTTTCAGCCCTTTATTTGCTGTACTATGTTTAAAGTGCTACTACGACGAAAATCGCTCAAACTTGGATTCAGCTGAAACTTCCTAAGAATACTCTTTAAAGGACCAATAATCACTGTATGAAGT